TAGAAACTAGAGAGGCGGAGTACCATAAAGCAAGTGGCTACGGTAAACGAACGTTTGGCTCAGACCACTTGACGAGCTGCTGGTGTCTTTCGCGACCAATAAGAAGCCATCGTTTGCCACCCCCATGCACCAGAAGCATTCAGAAAAGATGGGGATAAGCGCTCGAAGGCGAGGACAGTGGTCCCAGACTAGGAAACTGTTCATTCCCTTTGAATATGAAGTTGAGTTAATTCCATCACCTTTGCAAGATGGTAAAGCCATCCCGTTGGAAAGGGACATATTCCAAAAGACTTCTATCATCTGTAGAACGGCTCGGGTATCGAAGAGACCGTTGGCTTTAGGAAGCCAGCTTTGCATCCTCTTTGCCGCCCGTTCAGCAACCGAAACTGTGTTCATTCAGAGAACTGAATACTGCGAAAACATTCAGGAGCAAGGTGAGCAAAAGTTCGATGAACCCTTCAAAACGGCTTAGGGACTCGGTGTGAAGCGGTGCTGGCACTACTCAAGCCAGGTTGCATCCTCCTTGCCGCCTTCTCCGCAACCGAACCAGTTCTGACCGTATACTGAAGGCTTTGAAGCATTCCAAAAAGGTCAACAAGCCAAGCGCACCCTGTACCTTGTGCAAGACACACACCACAAGGATCTGACGCAGGAAACTATGGGGCGACTTTCAGACTAGAACCCGCCGCTGGATGATGGTCATATCATCGTGGCGCCAAAAGAGCTCTTGTGCGGTGACTGACGGGCCGGCACAACCCCAACAGATGAGTTGCACAAGTTTCAGAATGTTCTTGGACAGGCAGCTCGGAACGGACAAATATTTGAGCAGCTTGTGGCGCATAATGAAATAGTGCCATGCTTCTTCCACTCATTGCCTCGCAATCAAACTCGACAATACTCTCTTTAAGTGGACAACCTTTCCAAAAGCGGTAACCCACTCGAAAAGGGAATCTTGCGAGGGTAGGAACTCCAAAGGCACCCAAGAACAGACGGAAAAGTGCTCACGGTGCAATATAGAGAGGCGGAGCTCTGAAGAAAACCCTAGCTTTGGGGACTGCATTGATGTGATGCCCCAAAAGGGAGCACCTATCAAAAAAGCTGTGCAAGGCCAAATGGGAAATTCATTTCTTGGCACGCCAACTGGCGCTAGAAGACCGAGGAACACTGCCTGAGAATCTGGCAAATACAACCAAAGCGATGGAACCATTGGCCTTTTCCCGTCTGCCTACGGTTACTAAAGCCCGAAGAGACTGCCCAAGATGTGGATGCATAGTTTATAATTTTTCAGCTCCGTATACCGGACACTTCAAAGGCATAACACCTTTCGCTCTCTTATAAGCGTAAAGAAGAAGCAAGAACACCGCTTCCCTTCTATGGCTCGACAACTCCCACCGACAATTTCAATGGCCCTTAAAGCCGACATTTGACGGAGATTCATTGCCACGTGTGTCTTACGACCCAATGAATGTACAGTGCACGAAAGTGACGCCCATGATCATGACGTGGTCGAGAGGTAGAATCCTTTTCCAGACTTGACTTTTCCAAGTCCCCAAGATCAAGACAACACCTCTCTCAAAAACCGCTGATCCACGACTTGCAAACTGGTCTGCGCTTGGACTTGGGCAAATACGGGCGTGTGTGCTCTCAACGTTCTCACAGAGGTTCTAACAAAACGGCGGATGACTGCCAAAGAATCAGCGTGCAGCAAACCGATCTTTCAAACTCCATCAGCGGCTCAGAAGACTCGCACACGACTGGTGGTAAGGAGCGCCACACTAGATGCTGTCCTGGCCGTTCGATCAAAGAGCTTAGGAAGAAACAAACGTGGCAGATTAGGCTCAACCGTACGGACAGCCAGCTTATGCCTTTCCGCAGTTCTGACCCGTTTCCAAACTACCTTGCACCCGAGCATTTCTTCAGCGTGAATTCTTGACCCCGCTTCCGGGTTACGTGCCAACAAAACCTTTCATCAGCTTGGAGTTGGCTCCTTAGGGCCACAGGCTCGTTCAAAAGCGCCAATTCCGAGGCCTGTTCGTCCTTGCCACCTGACTCTTGACATGGAATTGTTCTTGTCCATGGAGAAAGCGCACTTAAGGAGACACATAGAACGGAACGCTCGAAAGTCGCTAGACGAGTCAGCCTAGAAATCATTGAGCTTTGCAAATGACGTTTTGCGTGTAACGAGGATGGCATCGGATCCTGCAGGAGAAAACTCTCTTCTCCGCTGCCAATGCAAGGAGTCCGATAAGTTGCTGACACCACATCCGGTGGGAGACTCGTCAGTTGAAAAGACGTTCCTTTAGCACACCTCTCATGGTCGACCAAAACACTACCAAAGTTTGGGCCAAGGAAGGAGATGCTGTTTGCAGATTTGACTGTCGCCTGACCCTATAAGCGCAGCCCGCTTACCCTAGCAACTTATCCCTTGAAGAATCGAATCGAGATGACCGCGAAACTGACCAGTGACTGTGACGAGGTCAAGCTTTTGGGGCTCAGATGGGTACCATAACGGTCAACATTAAGGAGCTCCTCAGGTTCTTGCAGCGCTGTATGTGGTCCAATCTTCAAACGAAGCTTCAAATGTTAGACCCGGGAATTGAAACACGCCCGGGCAACGAGGATCGTGCAGAGTTTTGATTCTTTGGAGGAGGAACGGGCGACAGTGCAACTTCATGGAAATTCAGGCAGCCTTATAAGAGAGTTCGTCAAACGGCCCCACGAACCAGAGAGAATTTTCAGGTGGCACGTACTTACGGCTGTAAAGTTCTGATGGCTCGAGTTACCACAGATCCGGACCTTGGCCGTTCACAGTGCCAACGGAAAGTCGTCATAGCCACCCTGAGAAGTAAAAACCTTCTGGGGGAGGAAAAAGAGAACCCAGCAACGGGGAAAATGCTCACATGGCTAGGAAGGAATTTAAACAGTGCGCATTTCCACTGACCAAGTTGAGATAGCTTGCGGACACTTGAACACCGAGAAACTTACATAAAGTCAGGGCCATCGCTGCCTTACTTTTAAAATACTTTTTTGACAGGTTCGGGGCATCATTGAGCACAGGACTCAACAAGAAGAAGACAACCATTTATAACGGCCGCCAAAAGTCAGGTAGAAAACGCAGGTGCATGCGCAACGGAAGATGAAAACCTTCCGCAAAGTCCGTTGTGGAGGCCTTTTTGCAGCGCTGCCGTGATAGAGGGCGCGCGAAGAAGTGCTAAAAAGCCCACGTTGACACTCTTACGGATCAAGTGAGACAAAGCCACGCACAACCGACTAAAGCAATTTAAATTGGCGGTAGACGGAAAAGCTTGTCTTGGCCTACACCACACATGCGCCAGGTCACTTTCGAATCGTGCCACACGATAGTGACTCCAAGGAATGATGCGCAATGATGGGGCCATTTGCTTCCTTACCAATTCCCCTTCCCGACGTGTCCAAAGCTTGTAAAGATTTAAAGGGCATGTTTACAAACGCGGAGTCCTATGAAGCGGCTCCGAGTCAGGCCTAACCAACTTGGCAGTGCACATGCCAGCCAGTCTGTATCCTCTTTGCCGTCTCCTTGTCACCCGAACCCTGCTTGACCAAGCATACCAAAAGCTTCGAAGTTCTTCCTAACGGTTCAACTAGTCATTGAACCCTATTTGCGTATCTCTTCCCCCCCCTCCCTCCCTCAATACCAAAGCCCAAAGTGTAACTATGCAGATGTTGTCCATATAAAAGCGCAGCTATGTTAATTGAGAAAATTGTCAGCATGGGCGCTAAGCGGGCTCTCGCAAGGTGACTGACGGTCACGAAGCCAACTGCTGGGATGCAACGAGTCCGGAAGCTTACGTGGACACACAGCTCGGATGTGTCTTGCAGAAGGTCTTGGCGCAAATTAAAACAGCGCCATGCTTTTTACAGTCATTGCCGTACACTCGATATCACGAACTTTCTTGTCTCACGATATTCTCCCTTAGTGGACGCGATAGACTAGAACGCGAATACGAAGGAAGAGCTTGCACAAAGTGAATCCTACAGGTGCGACCCAAGATTTGAAGCAAACGGGGAAAACAAGGACATGCGCTCACGTTGCAAGAAAACGCTTAGCTCGTGATACATTCCTACCTGGACATGATGCTCGTCAAAAGGACCGAGAGTAACATTGTCCAACCCAACGCAGGAGTGTCATTTGTGAGAGAGCAAGTTGAACGAAGCTACGATATCGTTACTTGGGCCGCTGCCAGTGCTACGCCTTGCGGAAGGCAAAATCACGTTTCGACGCTCATCAACCCAGATGAAGACCTACATGACGTTTTTTTACCTTGGTAGCCGGCACAGCCGGATCCACGCTCGCAAGGTACGGAGTTTTTCTACCGCCACCACGACGAAGAACATGCACAAACATCGAATCCTTTCTCGATGGCTCGAGACCTCATGGTTACAGAACCTTCAATGGCCCTTGAGCCAACATTCAAGCGGATCTCATTGCCACTCGTGTTACGGCCTGATGCAGATAAGGTGACGAAACCAACAGTCACCTGAGGGCTGTTACTACATCCAGATCATCACTCCAATCAGCCTTTGTCAGTCAACAATGGAAGGCACGCATCAAAAAAACGTTCACAGCACGCCAGTCAGGAAACAGCAGACTTCCTCAAAGCGGGTCCGTGCGGTCAAGCCGTAAGAAAACACTGCCCCTTGACACCATCTGCTCAAGTATGCCCAAACGCAATGTAACGGGTGAAATCACTGCCACCAAGCACTCCAGCAATACTTGCCATCAAGCCCAAAGAATCACATCAATCTCGTCAAATCAGAGTTCGGAGGACTGCACAACGGACCACATTCAAGCAGAAATGAATGGGGCATACGGCCACCAACAGGATGTTCTGCTTTTACCACGACTGGTTACAAGCATCAAAGCAGACAGGAACCCACGTTCTCTTGGGTGGAAGGGCACTTAGTCAACCACAAACCAAACTTGGTTGACGCTAATCTTCTTCTTTGAAAGCAAGCCTCACCTTGGTAACTGCAGCCATTCCGACCGCCAGCGCAAACGCCCGTCCCAGCTGTGACTGCGCCCTCGCCCCAATCTCCGCCCCGTTCCACCGCTCGACTGCTTCTAACGCCTCTCGAACAGCCTCCCCCGCCTCTGGTCCCACCGCCCGCGCCGCGCCCGCCACATCGAACGGCCCCAGGAACCCCGATGACGTCAGTATCTCGGCGGATGACGTCATCGTCTCGTCGGATGACGTCAGCGACGAGGGGGATCCCCGGGAGGGCCGCATGAGCAGGGACTCGAGTTGGAGTTCTTCGATGTACGCGGCGAGTTCTAGGAAGGGGCCGGTGGGGATGGGGCGGTGTGAAAGGGCGCCGCTGAGGTGGGCGGCGAGGTCGGTAAGAATAAGGGCATCAGGGGGGCTGCAAGAGGAAGGCGATACGCGGTTGAATATCAAGTCACCTATTCATCAACAGGCATGCTGCGCAGGTGTAAAGATGGAAGCGCCGGGGAGGGCTGCAAAAGGGAGGCATCACGAGGTTGCAAACACGATAGCTGCATGATAATGGTCAAAGGGCGCCCCTAAGGCGGGCGGCGAGAATCAGTGAGAACCAAAAATCGCAGGGGGCTGCATGCAAACAGGATTGGCAACCGGCAAAGGTTGTTGCTCATGCGGTTGAAAAAACGCCACTCGAGGGGGCGGCAAGGTCAGTGTAAATAAGGGCACCGGGGGGACTGCACAGGTGAGTTATACCGTATACAAGATTGGTAAAAGGAATAGCTTATCATTGTAAGGGACGCTCCTCGGAAGTCAGTGAGATCAAGGGCACCGGGGGGGGAGGTACAAAACGGAAGGCAATACACTATGGTGAGTGAGAAAAGCTTGTGGCAGCCAAAGGCGCCAGTTGGGTAGACGGGAGACTTTGGTGGGGATAAGGACACCGGGAGACTACAAGAGAAAAGCAAGGCGAGGACAACAGAAGCACCAGCTTATCATCTTCGGGTATGCCACCTAGGTTGGCGGCAGCGAAGTCGATCTTGGGAGGTAAGAAAGAAGGCCGTTCAAATTTGAGCCCATGTTAGAACTCATGAATGTCAGAAAAAGCCCCTGCAGTGGGCGCGAAATCGAGGAGATTACAGGACCGAGTGTACTGCAAGGAGAAGGCAATCGGTGAGTAGCGAAATGCGGTTTCATGAGTGGTCGAATACATGTCTTTTGAGATTGGCCACAGAAAGGGCTTGGCTGCGCCTTGATTGCAAGAGCCGTCATTATCTGGACTCGAACACCGTCAGGACGTTCAGACGAGAAGTAGACTGATCTCGGCTTAACAACCGGCTCGGACTCGCGCACAACACCAGAGGGCAGCCTGGCTGCTTAAGCGGATGTTCCTTGAAAACACAGCGAGTCCACCAAGCCCAAAAGGCTCCGGGAAGGGGTCATCTTAACAAGCATACAAAAGCGTACAAAACCTATGGGCTGAGCTAATGAACCTTCTACAACAAAACAATCGAAAACAAGCGACTCTCGGACGTTTTAGAGGCTCGCGTTCAGATAAGCAAGTCTTACTCCGTGGAGCTGTAAACCGGGTCCCGTGCCAATCTGTTGAAAGCCGGGTGGCTCTCGAAAGCCTGCCGCGCCCTTTCCAGGGCTTCCCCGATCGTGGCGTCAGCACGAGGGGGGGGTGACGTCAGCATGCCCAGCACAGCTACACGGCAGAGGATCTGGGAGGAGAGACAAAGTTAACTCATGCGAAACGCGCTCTGAGTAGCGTGACTTTCATGGAAATGGGGGCATCTTCTTCTTGTGAAATGATGAAGCGCGTACGAGGCATTCATATCAAGGTGAAAGTCTGCAAGAGACTATTGCGAAGAGCACCATACTTGATTGACATTTACAGGCGACTTTCAGGCAACGCTACGGTTCGTCCTGGTTACAAAAGCGGTCGAAAGGAAGGAGGACCAGTCTCGAAGAAGTCGCTAGAAGACGGCCTCTCGGCAGATACCTCTCGACCGAGCAGAACTGATTAAAACCCTGAAAGCCGCTCTCTAATCTTGGAGTCGCAACGAACACTTGCAGAGAACAGGCCAAAAGCCTGTTCGTTCTTAAGCGAACCATCAAAACCTGGGCGGGGAGTCCAAAAAGGCAAGATACTTCGAAGCAAAACCGTCTCAGATAGACGAAGAATGCGCTGCCCTGTTCCTTTAATACTGCTCGTCTTCGACGAATATTCTTCACTCAAAGTCATGTCAAACTTACCACAGCGTTCCGTAGTCCGTCATCCTGAGTCACACTTTGACACAGCCGCTCCGCCGTCTCACTTGGCCGCTCCCCAACTTTCCCCTCCCAGTCAGACACTATTTCCACCGCCCCATTTCTCGCCCCCTCTAGTTTTCCTTCCGCTCTATCCACTGCCCGTCTTCCCCGGTTTCTTGCAACCGCCCACATTTGTTCCGACATAAGCGAAAGCACCAAAGAAACAACGACCCGGTGATTGCCCGCCACGTCTTCCGTTTCGGCGTCACTGCTTGTCCGAAGCTGCTCAGTGGTCGCTCCCAAAACTTGAGCTAAGATCGCCCATAGTTGCGCTCCGAGTCCCAGGCCGGATTCGGCAGCGTCAGGACCGCACGACTGGAAGAGTGCTAAAAGCATTGCCAGAACCCGGCGCGAGACCGTTGGGGCACTGCAAGGCAGAACCGGGTTCAGTAAGGGACACAAAAAGTAATTTTGTCTGGAATGCTATCTTTTTCTCAAACAATCAGCGCTAGAGCCGACGACAGGGCACGACTATTTGCAGGGCAATGGGAGATAGGCACCGACTCCAAACTTTCAAGGGTTTCTGGATTTGTTTAAGAACTGATTATAGAGAAGAGGATATGAAACGGTTACTCGAGCCTGGACCTTCCTTTTCGGCGGGACCAGGCACAAATCGGTCAGTCGGGGATCCCAAATAGAAAGGATAACCAGATGATGCCGATTGCCTCTTAATGGCATCTCCGCAACACTAAGAGACCCAGCTTGAGTTGCAGCAAAAATGGGATATCAGTGGAAACACGCCTGGTTTCTCCTCTTCGTTGCAAAAGTAAAGAAACATGAGATCTGAGAGACTGACTCTTGAGGAAACGTGGCATGCAGCAGAAAGCCCCAGTGTCTCTCTTACCTCTTTGCCAGCTCCGGCAGTTCCGTAACTAATCGCGCAAGAGCTTGCATCGCCTTGCTCTTCTCCCCCGTTGTACGCATTTCCGTTTCCGGCCCCTTGTCTTCTGTCCGCCTTCCGTTGGCCGGAATGAACGCCCATGCCACTAGGCTCGGTTGCCACACGCCGGCCGCGCTGAGAAGATCGGCTACCCCATTGGATGCCCGGGACGAAACCCCGACCGACTCCAGCGCCTCCCCTATTGCAACTTGGACCCGCTTGGCTTCCGCCTGGCGGAGTGCTCGGACTATCCCAGTTGCCAGTTCCCCTCCTGTGCTGCCCGTCTGCGCCGCACGCATTATGAGAGCTCGCAGAGAGTCTGCTGCGACGGCCTGCAAACTCTCACTGCTGGTGTATCTCAGAAAGGTGGCAAGCGCTCCTAGAACGCTCTCGTTCCCGTCTTTGAACACCAGGGCCTCGAGCGCATTCACACCGGCCTCCCCCGCGCTGTGCTCTAGCAAGCTCGTGAAGAGCCGCAGTGCCCCGGCGACCGCATCTTGCGCTGCCTCTAGTTCTCCCACTGTGGACGTCGCCGAGAACTCAATGGCTTCTAGACCGGTCGCTCCAACAGCTAGAACGCTTAGCAACATGTTTCGGGACTCGGGGTTTGCGGAGTGGAGGAACGCCGAAGTGGTAACGGTTTGGAGGGGTAGGCTTTGTCCGTTAGCGAAGGTGTAGGACGCTAAAGATGCCGCGGCGACATCCAGCGACCGGCCCACTACCTGTAGTGCGGATGATTCTGCCTTTCAGGAGGAGACGACTTTCAGCCCTCAACTTTCAACTTTCAACTTTCAAGTCACAACGACAATCGGTCGACCAAGTGGAACGGCAGGCCAAAGACCACTTCGAGGTTCGTCGTCAGCGGAATACGATTAGAGAAACACGGAAGGGGTGCATGCAGGCAGGAATCTGCCAGAATGGTGCATTGCAAGTAGTTTTGATACTCCGACCTGACTTCCCCAACGGTGAAGTCTGTGCCTCCGACACACTTCTACCTTACGTAGGCTTCAAGAACACGACACGTCATTGAGCAAAGTTCCTGAAGCGGTGAGATTACGGTTTCGTCTTTAAGAACCAACCAACACCATCGCTAGCTGACTACAACGACGGTGTTCGTTCCACCACGAAAGTGAGTTGCAAAAGAAATCCTCTCTTCAAAGAGGTGAGTGCATCGTCTCAGCCCCTCTGTCAAACGGTAATGTAGAAGGCGGCCAGAAACAGATGCTGCAGAGAAGACCCGCAGGAAGCAGCCGGGGATAAAACCTTCGCACATGCGGTAAAAAATACTCAACGCTGTGCCTGACGCCCATTGTTACCAGGAGCCGTGTTCTAAACCCTAGAACCCCGTAACCTAGAAACTGGTCTTACCTGCCAAAGCGACAGCTGTGACAAGAACCTTCGGCCTTTGACCTGTTGCAAAATCTCCTCTACGCACTGTCTAACCACGGCTGCTGCCCAGCGCGACTGAACGCCGTGCTCCACAAGTCGATGAACGAGCTCGAGAACTGCAGACACGAGAGGTAGACGTTTGCTTCGGATTATCGCGTTTTCACGTACGAAACATCCAGCCTTTTCAATCCGCTAAACACAACGATGTTCAACGGACGGGTCTGTCAGCAAACGATGAGCACTGCCTTCGACTTACACGGCCCTTTCGGAAATGGGAACCGACTCAATCGAGCCTTAGCAAGGGATCTTGGCTGTCAAACTTCGACTTTGAGACTACGGATCAAGCGCCTAAACTCCACTGCCAATCGACTGACAGTCGAAGATAGACATCCCAAGCTTCGGATGCACCTGTCACACCCAAGCCTGGAACTTTGGGACTCAGAGCCGCTGATTCTGAAGGGCTTACGAGTGAGTGGAGAATGTACAAACGGCTGGTTGGCAGTGAAGAGCGAGAAGGCTTAGGATGTGAAATCGCAAAATGAAAGAAGCAATCAACTTTCAAGCTCTAACCCATCACTTCTCTTGTGATCACACTCACTTGTGATAACCAGATTACGAACAAGTCCACCAGTAAGCCCAAGCAGAGTCCACGACGCAGATGACGTAAACTGCTCAACGAAAGGTGCTTTCAAGCAGATTTCAATCTCGAAGGGACAAGAGCCACAGCGTTTCCTAACCTGCCAGTCTCGACTTCGCCTCCCCAGTCCAGTACTCCCTCCTTACATGCAGCACCTTTTGAAGGCTCAGATACAAAACTCCTAAGTCCTGAACCCCTGAAGCGCCAATATCCATAACGTCTGTTAAGGAGCAATGGTTCTCTCACCTGCTAGTGTCAATTTCGCTTCCCCTGTCCGGTACTCCCCTCCCTCCAGCACCTCTTGAAGCCGGTACAACCGCTCCTCCTCTCCGCTGACCTCGAACAAGCCCACTTGCGCAAAATTCACCCCTACGCGCGCCGGGCAGATCTCCACGAAAGACGCCATGACCGTCAAAACGGCGGGGAGCAAAGCTAACCCCACACCCCTTCCGTGGCCTACGTTATGACAGATCGCCGCTAGAGTTCGTATCGTGTCTAGTTGCAGCCCGGGATCCACTCTCCCGTCTCTTTTGCCGGCTACAACGAGCGGAGAGCTATCGAGCTCGAGCACCAGGGTCGCGACCGGCGCGCCCCCGAATGACGTCAGCGCCGCCAGCAGTTCTAAGATTGGCCGTAATTGTAACGTCACCTCGTCCCCGCCCCCCCTCGCGAGCCGCTTGGAAAGCTGCCTCGCCATCAGGAGCAGCACCAGAACCGGGTGGTGTCGGCACTCCCACGCGACCAGCTGCCCGCGCCGGCCGACGTCATCGATGACGTCATCGGACCCCAGGACCGCCCCCTGGGTGCCACGTGGCACGTAGAGGCCCGGCGCATGCGGCAGGGGGGTGGGCAGCAGGGCCTGGACGGCCCCCCCGGCGTGGGGGTGGGGGAACGCGACCGTGCGCTGGTGGTAGAGGAAGTTGAAGACGTTCTCGGTGGCCCAAGGGCCCTGGCAGAGTGACGTCAGCAGCTGAAGTAAGCGGCGCGAGCGCGCAGGGAAGAAGAGCGCGAGCGCCTCGGCGAGCTCTTTGATGGGCGCGTCGAGGGGGGAGTCGAAGAAGCTGAGTGCCAGGTACTCTTCCCCGAAGAAGAGGGAAGAGAGGAGGTCCACTACGGTTTGGCCCCGGGGGTTGGATTCGTCGACGACCGGGGAGTAGAGGTTGTAGGCGCGGAGGGACGTGGACACCAGGAGCTTCATGGTGTGCTGCAAATGAGGAGTATTTGAATCAGTTCTGCATAAGTTGTATCTGAAACCAAGCTGTTCTTGTGCAAAATGAGGGTTTTTGGTCAGGTTTCATGATCTGTATATGAACCGGGCTGTGCCTATGCAAGTGCTCCTTGAAGGGCGGAGGGACGTGGAGGCATGGTGTGCTGCAAATGTGAAGTAGTTTACTCAGCGTTGCATAAATTGTATCTAAACCAACGTGTGATTGTGGATTCACTCGGTTTTCATGATCTGAACCTGAAACAGGCTGTGACTGTGCATCGCTCCATGTAGGCGTGAAAGATGTCGACACCAGGAGCTTCATGGTGTGCTGCAAAAATGGGTGGGCTCAATCAAGTCCTTACAGAAGTGACAAATTCTCTATGACTTGGGTGAATCAAGCTCCGAAGTCGCACGTGCTTTTGTTCCAATCAAAAGCACGAGCAATGTTACATCAGCTGGGGTTGTTAGCAGTATCTGAGTGGTTGTACAGTGACAAGCGGTGGGGTCAAGTGACTACCACAGATATAGCGCGGATTCTTGTTCCTATGGATCTGAGTCTAATCAGACCTAGAGTGTCTCAATGCGCTCCTAAACCCTCAATGATAGTAAACCGGCTTCGCATCCCAAGTTGGAACTGGCTTGGAGCTAGGCAAAACAACGGCTGAAGTAACAGACGGGGTGACAGTGGCGATCGGCGGAGGGTGCGATCAGAACGTCATCTTGGCGAATAAACGAGCTGACGGATGACAGGTGGGGACGGTTCAAAAAGCAAAGAACACGCAGGTTAGACTTGAGACTGTGGTTGAATCAAGTGTTTAAAGCGAAGCCACAGAACTTAAAATAGAGACCGCCTGCGATTGTTGAACGAGCGAAGCAACTGCCGCTTCTGAAGCTCAGGTAAAAGCTCAGGAAAGTGCGATGACAAGAACTGAAATTTCAATGAAGCACCTCGCAATCTTTCCTGAGATGCCCTAGCAAAGTACCAAACCCCATCTCCTTACTTCCACCCCAACAATACACCATGGCTGGATTGCTTGCACTCGAGATAAGAGCGTTTGTTTCGTCAAGGTGAAACTGGCACGTCACACCTCTCTCTGAAAATCAATACTCGGAGGAGTTAATCGTGCCTAACCGAACGCACCTTGTAAGCCGTAACCTGCGGTTCCAAAACTCTAAACTCGTCCTGCCGGAGCATCCCTAGCATCTGCTCGAACACGGCCCCTTCTTCCGCCCTCTGGATGTGGACATTCGCTCCGTCGGGGGGCAGGTCCGCCAGCAGATCCGACCCCCCCGAATCGGGAAGGGCTCGTAGCAGCGTGATTGACGAAGCCCAGGCTAGAGAAAGTGGAGCGGCGTAGGGGGAGGCGTCTTCTAGGGAGAGGAGGAGGGAGTCGAAGCGAGCAGCGGAGGAAGCAGAGTCGAACGGATAACCGTTGAGCGACCTGCAGGAAGGCCACGGAGAAGATGAGCTTAAGCGCTGCTGTGACAAATTAGCCGTTAAGGAGTCTGCAAAGAGGCCAAGGAGAGAGGACACGCCCAGCTCATTCAACAGCGGTCACGAGCGGAGTGATTTTGATTTTGCAGCGCCCTTAGGCTAGGTGAATGTTGGAGCATATCCCGAAAATGCGTAGTCGCGAATCTATGTTGGAAGCTGCCAGCCAACCACGGCAGATAGCGGAAACAACTCAAAGTACCGACTTTGAACGCAAAATGAATTGACCGGGTTGCCGCTCTAGGCATGTGACTCTGTTTCCTCCTGGTCGAAGGGTCCGCATATACTTCAGGAAAAGCACCGCAAAAGATGCAAAGCACGATTTTCTGAATTGCAGGATTTTCAAAGGTAAGAAACACTCAAAACCTGACTGTTAAGACCATGAACCCTCGATCCAGCTTCAAACTTTGCCTTGCCTATCACTGCAAACTCGGGCCCGTCAAATGCAGAGACAAGAAGCTGCAGTCTATAGTGGCATTAGGTGCAAGCATTTCGGTTGCTGCTGAAGGCTGGCAGAAAGAGAGAAAAGGAGGAAGAAAGAGAAAGACAAAGAGACTGTCGATGCTTGGCCAGCACGGGACAGATGGAGCACTCCTTCCGACACAGAGATTGGGCCCTGCGTCTGAGACGCCAAGATTGATGGTTTGAAAAGTCAATTACTGAAAGCCGTCGTTGCTGAAAAACTCCGCGTGGGGAGCAGATTTAGCAGCCGGAGGCTTCTCATTGGCTGTCTTCCGGCTCCGTCGCATTATCAAAGAAAAAAAAAGTTTTGTTTCCTCGCCGAATTTGGCTTTCCATAGGAGCTTTCGAGCCACAGCCCGTCAAAATATTCATCCCAATGAGATCATAGGAGTGAAGTGGCTTCGATGAAGGGAAAACCAAGAACAAAAAGATACAAGGAAAGAAGACGCTCAACAATGGTGCCTCGTGACAACCTCTGTGATCCCTTTGAACGTGTTTCCGGTGCCTTGCCTGGGAGAGTCCCCGTTTTTTGACGACGCTGGCAGTTTCTCGAGGCCCATCAGCACCAGCAGCAAGAGAACCGCCAGGTGTCGAACCAGCGCGAGGTCTGAGGTCGCGTAGGCCTGCCACGTGTCAGTGGCGAATTCGTCTTGCAGGAACACGTGCTCCTAGGAACAGAATAAAGTGTGTGAGTGCACGGTATCTTTTTGACCTGTGCAAATGACCATAGCTCCAGCTTTCGGCTCAAGGTAAGGTGCTTCAACCCGACCCCCCAGCCCAAAAGTCTCAATATAGCGGCTCAAAAACGGCGCCTCCCAAATTCGATTGCCCAGCACAGATATCTCAAGTGCATTGTCAGGCAGCCGGAACGGATGAGTAGAATCCTCATGCTCGAAATGACGAAGTTTTGTTAAGGGGTTTTCCTCAACGGCACGATCAAGCGGCCGAATCAGCCGAGGGGAGGCAAACAATGCATTCACCACCTGTACAAAAGCCGGGCAAAGAGTAATACAGTTGAATTCCCGGGGAACTTGGAAAGCACATAAAACTTTTGCACAATTACCTGAGCAGTTCGAGAAAGCTCTCCAGGCAAGCAAGGACGCGCAAAGCGTGCAGCCAGAGGGCCAAACAAAAGCGCAGAACAGAAAGTGTTTCAAAGTGTTACGCCAAAGTTGAAGATGGCAAAATCAACTCGCTATAAAAGCTCTGGTCGATCTCAGGCGGAGCCCAGGTGAACCGCGAGCCTTTATGACAGAGGAAAGCGACATCTATGTGGAAACCAAAATGCTTTTCAAAAGTGGTATTCTCCCAGTTCTAAAATACCTCAAAAGTCTCACCGAGAAATATTCTAGCAGCTCAAGGAGGCGACTGGGCCCGGTGGGAGGCCGAGTGAAGTACAGCATGAAGAGCGCGCTTATCAGCAGAGACTGTTCTCCGGCCATCTGGTCTGCCCACATCGGAATCGAAGCAGAGTCCTGCAGAGTGCAAGGTAAGGACGTTCGACGGCTTATCAAATAAGAACCGACAGCTGCTGAAGTTAGTTGTCGAAAAAGGGCTCATCGGCAAAGACTGTTCTCCGGCCTTCTGGTCCGCCCACAATGGAATCGAAGCGGAGCCCTGCATAGTTCAGGGCCAGAAGTCGATGTCTTTCTCGAACGAAACGCATAATTACGAAAGTTCAGTTAACGCAACAGTGAGCGCGCTCACTAGCCGGGACTATTCCGCGGCCACCTAGTCCACCCACAGCCGAATCAAGCCGATCCCTGCAGAATAGGCAACTTTTGACGAACTTTCGTATGGAATCTGAGAGTTGCATAACAAGTGACGGAAGCCTTTGGAAGCACGCTTATCAGCTGGGTCACGTTTGCGGCAATCTAAACCGCCCACATCGGAATCGAAGCGGAGACCTGCAATTTTCACCTGCAATTTTCACAGCAAGAACGTTCGTCCAAATGGAGATTGATAATCATGATCGTGTAGGATACGCTTGGAAGGGCGCGCCCATCAGAAGAGACTATCCCGCAGCCATCTGACCCGCCCGCTGATGCAAAGCCGATTCTTGCAGAGTAGATATCTCGACGAACTTTTGTAGGAAAATCGAAAGGGGCGTAAAAAGTTCAGGAAGCCTTCGAAAGCGCGCTCGTCAGCAGACACTGTTCGCCGTCATTCGGTCCGCCCACATTGGTATCGAAACCGAATCCTTTTAATCAAGGTGAGAAAGTTCGACGGATTTCGAGGGAGATTTCAGCAGGGACTGTTCCGCAGCTTATGGTTTCCCAACAGCGGGTAACCAAATTTGCAAACGCAGGGACCTTAAAAGAAGGAAAGCGAGATGGAGCCGCCTTCAAACTTCCTTCCTCCACCCACCGTCTAAAGAAAGCTGCGAACATGTCCGGGATATCTACGAGATCAGCGCTCAACAATGTATGACAGAGCATGTATCGCGGAGAGATTATCTGTAAGATTTGAGTAAACGAAATGGTGAATGATCTTTAAGACCCATTTTTTGACCAGATCAACCTACAATAACCTGCCTTTTTCTGAGGGGATTTATTCTCAACTTCAGAAGAGAGGAACCAAAAAAAGAACGTTGCGAATGCTCACGAGGCTAGCCGGCGGGGTTGCGACCAGGTGTCTCTTCACCGTCGCCACAAGGTTTGCTTCTAACCCGTCCTTGATCAGACGGTTAACGGCGTCCGCAAATACACGCACAGCGGAGTTGCCTTGGTTGCCGTCACCATCTGCAGAGATAGGCCGGCGGACGTTTACTGTTTAACATCGGCAAACGGCTCAGCTTCTTCTTGTCTGCTCTCTCTGATCCTCTGCTGTCAACCTAACTACCGGTACCACTTGGCCTGTGGGCTATTAGAATAGAAAGAAACGCTCCAATACCATTCGTTCGGAGTAGTAATTTTCTGCAGTACTGAAGATGGTCTGTTCACGGTTATGAGACTTTTGAGTATTCCATGAAAAGAGGCCTATTCCTCACCTATCATGTCCAGCTTGGAAAAGCAATCCAAGAGTTTTGGCGAAGATGGATTTGCACCATATGCGACTTGAATTGCAGACAGCTCAGTCGGGAACGGTCCCTTCCAACTGGTTCAAAAGCACTGCAAAACAATCCACGGCTCACCTTGAAAGCTCAGCAAAGTACGAAGGCTTGTAACTAGGGCCGATCGCTCTGCCCCGTGGTAAGCGACAACCTGCGCAAAGGAAGGCGGCAACATTTTGCTTTGATGCTTCTGCATGCTTCTTTTCGGCACGAAAAACGACATCGGCTCGATCTATAAGAAGTACGTTGTCGTCTCAATTCTTTTGCGCTCATCAGGGGCTGAGGCTTCCTGCTGCAAACGAAGATTTCGCAGCCGATTTGAGTTCACTGCCCCGCCAACACTGGCTACGAAGGTACTTGCCCGCTGAGCCTGCGGGACTACTTCTGCCGTTGAATAAATTAATCAAGGTGGAACTGCTTTTGGATCAGACGACGCAATTCTTAATGGCAAGAAGACCAGGAACTTCACACACAGTGGAGATTCGACGAGGCGCGCACAAAGTGTACACGCCAACGAAATTGACCAGGGGCTTCTGTAACATGTCTTGTGTCAATTGCAGAGCGTTGCCTTCATAGGCTCCACAATGCGTATGTAAAGGGTACTAGCGCGTGAACTTCAACACGGTAACCCGAGCTCGACTACGACCCGTCCCTCATTTGATAAACAAATGAAGCACGACGTTTCTTTACCAGCTTAATGCGAGCCAAGCGTCATCGGGAACCGAGCAAAGGCAGACTCGATTAGTGCTCAGTGCGAGATCTCTGAATTAGAATCCAAAGGCACCACCCAATCTTCTTACCTGATCCAACAGGTCGCTTTCTCCTGGGCCCCCTCCCCGGACACCGTCCCCGTCTTCCGCGCACCGGTGCACCATAAGGTATGCTTGCGTCTCGTCCAAGTCCTGCGCTCACAAGAACGCCAAAGATAAGGTACTTCAGTCTATCACAATAAAGATGCATCCATCCTTGCGGTTGGTCTAGTATAGAATCCTAGGTTACTTTTAGACCAATGATTCCTTGGAAGGTTTGAAAGCTTATTGGCAGGCCTGTCGATGGAATAGGCTCGTGCGCGTTATTCAACCGGAGGGTGGGCCTGGAATTTCTTCGCATGTGCCAGGCCGTTCTTTCGACAAATTGTTTGACATTCAATGGTTAAGAGTCTGCTGGCCTCCGCTCCGAGGAACGGATCATATTTACTTCGTATTCGAGCTATTTGCTGCAACACTTCTGCGGCGTTCCTTCCATCGTTTTTCTGCCTTTCAAAAAGTCGAAGCCAAGGGAAAAGGTAACACACAAAAGGAGGAGAATGTGCGAACGACTTTTAAAGAGGCTCACCAGACGCGCGCTCGCTTCAAGAGCAGTCTCCCTCAGATCCGCAGTGACTGGAATCGTCTCCGGCCCCAGAGTGATGGTCTCGTTCTGGAGAGCCGCTTTGGACGCGGCAGAAGGCGGCTTGAAGTTGTCAAAGGTGTTGAGGAACCATTGGTGGTGCTCTCTAAGTATTTGCCCCTGCAAGAAAGAAGCAGACAATTGTTGGAGTTTTTCCTTTGGACAAAGCTTGGATTTGGAACTTAGCATCCATGTAAAGTGGTGTTCCATAGAGAATGGTTGTGGCACATCAGCTTAGCCGCTTGCAAAGGCGCAATCAAGAAGCTCAGAAACGATGACCAAAGCCTGTTGCCCCAGATCTTGATAACTGTGTCGGATACCTTCCAAGAACTCCCTCGCTTCCGTTTTGCGTGTATACACATGAGTGCCAGCAAACATTGACTGATGATTCAAATGTAGTTGCGAGCTATCTGCCAGCTAAGAATCACACCATCAAACCAATGCCTTGTTGCTTGGAGAAGATCTTGCCAGTGTGAATTCATATCAAAAGTAGACTGGGAGGAAACATCTCTGAAAACTAAACTGTTGTATAAACTACGTGTATCAAGGTGCTGATTCAAACAATGATAAGGAAGTAAGTACGTTTCTATAATGTGCTTCACCAAGAAAAGAAGAAGCCGAGATGAAATACAAGAAGTGTGACTGCGATTGTAAAAAGTACTGGCATGTGCGGACGGTTGTACCCCCCAGGGCAAGCTTCCAGGTTGCATATCACAAAGGAAGAAAGAGAAACTTTGTACCATTTTTATTCTATTGACCGCACCAGTCAATAAGCTCCACAAGAAGACAGCTTGATAGGGGCACGAGTTTAACTGATTGCATTAATTCTGAATTGTATGCAGAGGAGCGATGTACTTCCCTAAGTTTGCCTCTCTATTGACTAGCCAGTCGTACGATAATGCTGATTTTCACTGCATCAACCATGCGCGAGAAAGCTGTAGAAGAAGTGCAGACAACTAGCACTGCCTTTGTTTCACCACCAGTGTTGATTGCATGTGCCAAACGCTTCTGCCAGAGGACACTGAACACTGCACATTACCCAGCCACAAGTGGTAAGAAGGTCACTTCTCACCACCTCTCTTTCCCGCTGTTGCAAAGTGACTTTCTGTTTTTGAATGCGTCTTTGCCTCAGACCAGCATGACCACAACAAAGCAAACGACGCTTCAGTGAAAAAACACGAAAGCTTGCAAACTCATTATGCATGAAACAAATGCAGAAGGAAGGATGGATTGCATTCTTACCACCTCATTTTCCCGATGTTTCAGACCCTCTTCACGAGAATTCTCCTCCTGTGCCGCCGCCCCAAAGCTCTCAATAGCGCTCTGCACCTCTTGGTGACAGCGCCACCATTGCGCCATCATGCACGAGGATCTGATCTCAAAACTTCTCACTTGAAATTCGTCTGGTTCCGTTAGCCCTGCTTCGCAGCTCGAAAAAGTGCAACTCACTGCAGTGACTCAACAGGGTTGACAGGAATGACTCTCCTCCACGAAATGTCTCTTCACAAAACTGAACACCTGCCGATGAGCACACTTGGCGTTCCTACCGTATTCGTTCTCTCTCCACATTCTATTTGACTTTCGAGCTACACAGAAGGATTTTGCTTGTATTGAAGTTGTAAATCGAGACAATTCTGCATATGTTCGGTCTATAGAGGAAGATTGTACTTCACTGATATGGTGACGGTTCTGATGGACGGCAGCTAAAGCGGAGGCAATCCCTGTCCCAGTAAGCTGTTGATCAGTACGACGTTCCTAGAACGGCATGTCTGGACCATTCGCCAAAGTCTCCATAACCTTTGCCTCAGCTGACAACATTTGGTAGAAAACCACCCAGTTTTTCAGAGTTGGAAGCAGACCCTGCAAAGTACAAATTCAAAGTCGTCCAGAAAATAGATCTTTGACTCTATGAGTTTGAGGTGATGGTCAACTTAAAATGAGTCTGAGAGCATGTGATACCTAGCATCCCAGCAGGAGCCTGCAAGAGAGTTTGGTCCTAGCAGTACATTGTAGCCGGAAAACAGTCCGCCAACCGTCGAGGTGGCGGCAGCTCTCCTGCTCGAGCCATGGGAAAGCAGAAGGCAAAAGAGCAACCAGCAGGCCCTGAATAGGCTGATTGCAAAGAGCGCTGCAGAGAAGAAGCCGGCAGCAAGGGATGCAGGAACAACGGCTTCGGACGGTTCCTTTGAGCAGGGCCCTGATCTTGTATATGGAATCAGAGTAGTGGCAGGGAGTGAATGGGAGGCGCCACTTTCTGTCCTCATAGAGCTTCTGACCGGGCTGCACATCAGCCTCCTCGTGGGTGAGTGCTGACTGCAGCTGACCAATAACCTTCTTTTTGTGTGGTTAATGTTGGAGAATTCCATCTTAGGGGAGCTCATCAGATGGAGCATGCAGACTAGCACCTCACAGGCAGGTATGTGTATAAACTTTGTACAATGAGCTGACCAACAACACATAGCAACTCAAATCAAGATGTGCAGAACAAGCGAAGGCTAAGAACAGGGGAATCCTGGAGATATGGACTGCGATTCTTTGGTGGTGGAGAAAGCTGATGGAGACACATCGCTCAACACCGTTTGCGGCTCAATGACTGCAGCACATGCTGACTTATGCTTGGAAGCTCCAGACTCATTGAGAGCACATCGGGAGCACAATTCGAATAGTGTATCTCATCAAAGAGTTGCATGTTTGGCCAGGCTTTCTCAGCATGACCAAGTCACTTTCTGTTACTAGGCTCTTGTCGTTCAGAGTCGAATAAGACTTGAAGGGGGGTTGTTCTCACACGGCTTCGCAATACGGTCTCACAAGTTCTCTTGCGTTTGCAACAGTCACTCTCGCTGACCTCCGAAGCGTCGGCCGCGGTTCTCGACGCCCGCGGCAACACGGCGGCGTTCTACCGCGACTTCTGGAAGCAACCGGTTCTCCTCCCCGGGGAACGGACCGTACCCGATTGGATGCCGAAAGATGGGTCGGTTGAGAACCCCGCCTCGTCTTCGGAGAATCCGCTGCAAACGATATTGGAACTGCTACGTTTGACGGAAAAGAAGGAAGCCGGTATGGAAGTAGAAGAGGGAATGGTTGAGAGAGGTGCGGACAAAGCTGGGGAGAAAGGGGCAGATAGCGTGGATCGCGGTTTGATGAAGAAGCCGGAGAGCGACTTATTGGAAAAGCCAAAGGGTGATGAAGAGGGAGTTGAAGGGGCTGGCGGGGCAGACCTGAAAGTCGGCCAGGTAAGGAGTCTCTCGTAAAACTATCTGGAGATCCGGCGTTGAAGTGCTTTGTGTGTCAAGCACAGAGAGCTTTGTTCAGCGGCCCCTTAGCGGTGTCTGTTTGGTGTCAGAGATGTCACGGTCCAGCCCCATCCAGTTGGTCTAGTCTGTCCGAAAGGATCGTGCTCGTCATTCCTTCAGAAAATTCGCTGATGAAGGCATGTTCACAAGCATCAATTCTAATCAAGGCTGCTAACTCGAAGCCCTAAGCCAGGGGTTTCGCTGAAATCTGCTCACTTGACGCCTCGCTTGTTAAAACAGCTTAAGAAGGCTTAGCGACGACTATGTCTATCTGAAAGAACGGAGAGCTATTTCTCCTCTGCTTTCTCTCCGTTCACTTGAATTGAGTTTGCCTCTCTTTTGAGAGCGGATAACCGTCCACCGGAATGTAGGCTGCCTCTCGTTCAGATGCTTCTCTCGCTTCGAGCACTGTTGAAAAGCTCAGGTCCACGTTTGTTGCCTCAGTTCGTTAAGTTTTTTTCTTTCGCACGTCGTTTCAGCCGCTTTCTGTGCTCCTTGCAACGCAAGGAAGAGCCCGCTTCGATAACTTTCTTATGCAGTCTCTCCTTCCGTTTACGGTCTCCATCAGGCGCAGCTCCAAAGTGTATGATTCAAAACTTGGGCCGCTTACGATGCTCTTTCGGTCCCGCTATGCAGCATCATATGGAATTCCGAGAGAAGGGCCCCAGCGATGCAGAAACGGCGTCAGCAAAGGCTCGCCTCGACGCTACAGCGACGTCGACCGCCAGCGATCCGCCGACATCCGAACGGAACGGAACCAGCGGAAAAGCGCGGCAGCGTTCTAGGGGGGGCGCGCGCGGGGCTGGCCCGACTCCGCTTTCGGAGGCGGTTTTGCCAGAGAAGTCCCAAGTGACCGGGACAACGACAATTGAGACGGATGCGGGGCAGAGCGTGTGCGAAGGCTCGTCAAAATCGCCCGGGGTAAAGGACGGGGGGCTGGGGAGAGGGCCATCAGTAATCGCAGAACAGCCTGCCGGGGGGGGCGGTTTAGAACCTGGACCGGGGGGGGGGGGGTGGGCGGACGAGATTACCAGCCTGGCGGAGACGCCCGGTGACATTCCAAACCAGCTCAAGGAGGGCGGGGAGCAAGCAGCCACGAAACCGGTGAGCTCAACCGAGCGCGTTAAGATTATGAATGGTGTACACTTTTCAAATGCGTGACGAAGTGCTACATTGGGTGAGCTGCTTGCCAGGCCGAAGATGAAGTCGAAGGTCCGCTGAGTAAACCCGCCCTTCCATGATGGTCTTATGACTAGCTTTGACTTCATCAAGATTTCAATCCGACTCATCTGCTGGAGACAGTCTTGCGTTTGCGGCCAAGGCCCCTTCCAAATCGGAGGGTCAAGGGGTCTTTGTCTTCACTTAAGGGGCCGGCTCCGACTCTGTATATCAGCAAGTGCACAAGTTTTTGACCGCCCGTTAGTGCAACGCAACCCAGCGGCCATGTTGTCAGCGCAAAACGGCTACGGCCGCACATGCTGGACATTGGACGATCCAAACAATGGGGTTCAAAGTTTCGAATGACTCACAGACACCCTTTTCGAGCCTTCCTCCAGCCTTCCTTAGGACTTAGTCTTAGAGACCTTCTCGTAATAAAACCACGCCCACTAAAGTACTCCTTGTTTTTGCAGCAAAAGGGGAGTCGATTGCCAACAAGAAAAGCGTCAAGAAGACCAAGAAGAAGCAGAAAAAGAAGAAGGGTCAGGCCGCCGTAGATCCGCCAGACCCACCTCGAGCCTCCACCCCTCCACAAAGCGTCGAAAGTGCCAAACCCGAAACCGCCCACAGCATTGAACGCGCCGAAAACTTCCAGACCGCCCTCACTTCCCGAGTCACCGATGCTCACCAACCCGCCCGGGCAGTTCCACCGGGCCCCAACGCCGGAAAAGACCAATCCACCCATGCTCTTCAAACCGCCCAGAGCAAGCAAAGTGCCCAAACGTCCGCAACCGCCCTCACATCTCAAATCACCGAACCTCTCCACACCGCCCGGGCAGTCCAAGCTGGCCATGACGCCGAGAACGACCAAATCACCAATGCTCCTCAAACCGCCCAGAGCAATCAAAGCGCCCAGGTGCCTGCAACCGCCCTCACATCCAAAACCACTGATGCTCCCCAAGACGCCCGGACAGTCCAAGCTGCCCATGCCGCCGAAACCGACCAAATGACCGATGCTCTTCAACCCGCCCAGAGCAATCAGAGCGGCCAAAAGGCCGCGACCGCCCTGATCTCCCAAACCATCGATGCTCCCCAAACCGCCCTGACCGTCCCAGCTGCCCCCGACGCCAGAAACGCCCACTCCAGCCAAACTGCTCAAACGGCCCCGATTCCTGAACCCACGCAAGGCGCCCAGATTGCACAAACTGCCGAGATCGCACAGATTGCCCCAACTGCACAAACTGCCCCAACAATGGTTGAGCCCCCGCCGGCCCTCAATGGGCGCGACTTTACCGGAGAGGAGCCGGACCCTCCTGCGGAGATCCAGCAGTTGGGTGGAGGCGGAGAGGAGCTGACGTCAGCGTACGTCACGGGGCCAAGCTCTGCAGAGCTCCCGGCGCAAATATCCGACGGGTTGCCGAAAGCTGATGGACGCAGCCGGGAGGCGACGCCGTCCGTGCGAGCAGTTGGTGAGAACCAAACTAAGTCGGACAGCTTTTATTCTCACCAACTACTCAGAGCCTTTCCAAGTCGGAGCTTTCGAGAATCTCTGCCAGTCGGTGAAGGATGCCAAGGTTGCGCGGCACGCGCTCGAAGATCTGATGATGTCAGGGTCATTCTTGGCGCTCGGAGCAATCTCAGCAACAATTTTTCGCAGTTTGGCCTAGACGCTGGTGTGATTCAAGTGTCTAGAAGAACGGGCGACTGGGGTGCGAGGAGAACCGCGGCTGCATTTAGTGTCAAAGTTTGAAAGCTGCTAAATTTCGCATAATTGCTTTTCGGGGGAAAGGAAGGTAACAAGCCTTGTCACGCTTTCTGAGTTCAAGCCCTGGCGATTGTGTGCTCAATCCGGCGTCTTACTTGAAGACCAACGGACTCAGCCTCCACTTTTTCCAGATCTAGAAGCTCCCCTCTTCTTTCTTCGAGCTTTCTTTTCTATACCTCCAAGAATGAGCAGTGAATTTCGATTTAACCCCACTTCCTCTCTCCGAGAATCGAGTAGCTCCCCTCGTCTTTCTTCGATTTGCCTTCTTTCTCCCCTCGTTCAAGTGGGTCTCTCCAATTTTATATTTAAATCTTGATTTTCATATAGATCCCCGGCCTTCAACCGACCGGCACTCCGGGCTCGTGCTCTCCCGGGCGCCCACACTTCCCCCCAAGTCGTCGGCGCTTTCTTCCGGATCCCCTGTCGGAAGCCTACAGACACCCCGAGTGCGTCACTGCCCCCGTCGGGGCGCGGGGAACCGGGCACTTCGCGCATGTCAGAAAGCGCAGGCGTCGAGATCCTCGCATCCGCAGCCCAATCGAAGTCGTCTTGTAACCGGGAAGCCGCGGTTGAAGGCCGGTCGGCTGCAGGTACTGGGGGGTCCTTCGCCGGGCAAACAGAGCCCCCCGCCCTCCCACTGGGTTACAGCACATTGGCGGGTCCTGGGGGGGCCTTCCCCGGGCAGATAGAACCCCCCAGTCTCGAACAGGCTGACAGCAGAGTGACGTCACAGTGCCAAATGGCAGACGTCCCGCGGTTACTGGTGGCAGCGACTCCGCTTAGGACGCACTCCGAAAGTGAGAGCCCCCTTGTGCGGCCCGGTTCGAGACCCCGGGCGCCTTACAATCCCCTTGCCATGACGCGTTCCCGAATCCCTGCTTCGTCCGGCGAGCAGTCAGCTTCCTTCCAAGCGAGTAGCGCTCCGCTTGGTCCCCTGGCGAACGTGCCGGAATCCGCTCGGCAAACGGCGGAACCGCACAACTTTCCAGCGCAAGCAGTGTCGATAACGGGGCGGTGGAACGCCCCTGCTGACGTGGAAAACTTGGCAACGGAACTCCGGTCGGAAGGGCCGGAAGCCAGGCCAGGTGCACAGCGGTCACCTGAGCCCGAAAGGTGCTTCCCAGACCTTCCGGCCATCCTCTCGCTCCTCTTACCAGCGGAAGAGAAGCGGAATCCTCAATCGTTTCCCGACGTTTCAAAGCGTCTCTGTCCGGCGAGTTCGACCCCAGAAGCGCAGGGAGCAAGCCACGTGGCAGCTCTTGATTCGGCGCAAGGTGGGTCGCGCGCCGCCGCAGTTGCGGAGTCTTTACCGGCGCATATACGATACCCACTCGAAAAGCACGCGGAGCGGAATGAAGAGCGGAACGCAGAGCGAAAGCCTAGCTTAGCGGCGCAGAAGGTGGCGAAGCAGGAGCTGAGAGAAGATGACACGTGTTGCGTCGGTTTTGAGAGCCCGAAAAACGCGGCGCTCGTGCCATGTGGCCACCGCCTGTGCTTTGAGTGTAGCAATTTGGTTGAGGGCAAGATCGAGGGGAGAATGCCCCCTGTGCAAAACGAGGATCCAGAGCGTGCTGAAGCTATATAACTAATTAGATACTGCAAAAAAGCTAGCTTGTGATTAGACGAATCTGCCCCCGAGATCAACAAAGATCACGTCCGCCGAGCCAAAGCTTGATTGGAGTGTTTCTTCGATCGCGCTTGCATGAAGATCGTATATTAGTTTAGTGGGCAGTAGTCAATGCAGTCGGAAAGATGCTGGAAAAGAAGTATGGTAAGGCGCGAACCCAATTAAGCGCCCAATTAAGCGCGCAGGCGCGCCATACGTCCGATCAGGCCGCCTTGATAATGATGGTGCAAGATCAATCATTGAATATTACTAATCTCGCTATTCGTACACTGACGTACAGTGTCGATTTAATTCAGTGTAGTCACTGAGTAAGACAGATTTAATTATGACAAATCAGCACATGCACGTTCTCAGTCTGCAATGTTCTGGGTTGTGATCCCGGATACATGAGGGACTCGGACATGATCAAAATATCGATGGAAACATATACATCGATATCATGCGCACTGCGCACGCATTCTCGATCGGTGCCGTTCAATTCAATGATTTGAAGCATATAATTGAATCCTGATACACCGCGCGACATGCAGTCACCATGTAGCTAGCTCAGCCGGCGGCGCATGCACGCCAGCAGACTTGTATGCAGTCATGTGCATGTTGCGTTCGTGAAGGAGTCCGATCCGGGCGGCTGATATGCTGTAACGTTGCGACCGTCAGAGCGCGGCCCGTTAAACTGACCGGACTTGGGCCGCCGTCGTTAATTCTGCGTTATCTCTTCGACGACGGTACAAACTTGCACAAAGACACGGTCAGTGAGTTGGTCACCTCGGCTTGAGAAAGGCTGGTAATCCTTGATGTCGGATGTCATCCCCCAGCAACGACGCTTTCAATAACTTAATGGAGGGGTGACCAGGATAGTATTGGCAACCCTTACGGACTTCGGGAGTCTACCTCAATCATCTCGGCTTCTGTTCCAACTCGTCGGTCGTCCGCGTCGGCAGCCCTCGACTGCTGCGAAAGCGTATGATAGCCGGGCAGCCGCTTATGCCGTCCGCGCCACCAACTATAAGCTGCGTGCATAATCAGCCCACCTACTAATAGCACTATCCCGAACCCTGCATAAAGCCCCCAAGACAGATGGACGGACGGTCCATCGTTTCCAAAGATAATCTCAAAAGTGCGGATCTCCATCGGACCAAGCTCTACTAAGAAGCTTCCGCGACCGAAGGGGGACCCCCTTAATTTCGGCGCTTCCGAAAACGGCTCGTTTTCCACCCGCCACACTAGTTTCTGCACGTTGGATCTCGCCTGGTTGCCGGACAATGTCATCTCTGTGACTGCCTTTATCTGCGTAAAGACGAATGTTTGCATGTGAGCTTTTCTGCTTTTGAGTGGTCCGCAATCATAAGATACAGACACGACTTTCGAGCCGGGCAATGCTTAACCGTCAAGGACCCGCAAATGTGTACCATTCTTCAAGAGGTCCGTTTAAAAGGTCAATCTTAGCGAGACGGCAGGCTTACTTGAGCACGTCAAAATTCTCCCCTTTCCCTCTACATGCTAATATTTACTGAACGCGTCCTCCAACGCGTATGTATCAAGAACCAGGACGAGGGTCGATCCCCTGAAAGGTTTCTCTTCCCGCTCTTGTTATAAAGATGGAGGTCACTAGTGGAAGAAAGGTGTCCCGCGTAGACACTTGCTCTAACAGTTTTGCCATGTTTGAAAAAGCCAATTGTGCTTCTTTTCGTGCATGAACGAAGCATTCAACATAATGAACCTCGCTCCGCTTCTGCACTCCCGCTTCTTCGCAAGGGGCCAAGGCTCGTGCGCAAGGACTGCTTGACCTTTCTGCACCGTCGAAGTGTACCATGCGCCCAAGAGCACATTGACTTTCGGCCAAGCAATTACACGAGGTACACAACTCGGTGAGCTCGACCGGATATCAGAAACGTGGTCAAACGCTGCTCACCTTCTTGGCAAAAAGCGTGCGCAAATCTACATTAGCGAGCCGCGACAACACGGGGTCTTCATCCACCTTGCAACACAATCAAGAAAGGCAACGGGTCTCAGACCCCAATGAACGTTCTTCAGAGCGGAATTTGTCCTAGGGTTTCGGCATGTAGCAAGCCTAAAACCTTCCTTTTTAGTATTAAAATTCGGCAAATAACAAGAGCCTGATGCATACATAGAATCCTTTACTTCACGTCGCTCCACCGTTGCGTCGCCCATAATCGGCAAGCTTGGTAGGACGTTTTGTCTTTGCATTCAAACCCTCGGTCTGGATGGGAAAATCGGTCGACAGTGTGCTTTGGGCCGCAAAGTTGCCAGCTGCATCCGTGCAAGTCTGTCGACGCCGGAGGCTTTGGCAGATTCCCGATCATAGGTATGCGATTAACACTCTTTTGCCTATTTACTTTTCTTCTCTTCTACTTTGACGAGTAGGTTTCAATCGAATTTCTCAAAACGAAGAACGTCAACCAGCGGCGCCAATGATCGAGTTGAGCACGCGCCCAAAGCACCATCGCCTCTTGGGGGTTTGCGAATCTCACAATCTTTTAGATTTGAAAGTTCAAGGTTCGAACGATTTGAATTATTGGGCCGAAGGAGAAATGCAGGGCCCCGTCAGACGTGTCCAGAATTCGCAAGAAGCTCTTGCGAGACACGTCCTTCCACATAGACAAGAAAGCGCTTGCCAACTTAAGTCCTCACCTCAAAAAGATGTCCCAATCTCAGGAGGACCGCCCCGCTCGCGAGCTGCTGTAACGTGACAAGCGCCACGTTGGGGGGTAATTGCGCGCCGTTTGGCAGGCCTGACGCACCCCCCCGGCGCGACTTGAGCCATGCAGACCGGCCGCCAATCTGCAGAAGTCAGATGGCTATGTCTTTCAGTAAACGTTCTAGATCCTAGTTCGGAGGATTGACTTTTTGTAGACTCCGCTCTCAGATCCAGGTTGGATTGTCAGGGACGATAGACCCCGTTCTCAAAATCTTGGTTTGGAGGGTCCGATTGCGACCCCTCCGGTCTGAAACCCCCCTAGCTCGGAGCATTGTATTCCGGAACTCAAGTTCCAAACCCTACTCCGGAGGGAATATATAGACTAGTGCTAAATTCTGATCCAGGAAACACTGGAGCACGAAAGGGCGAAGCGGCGGGTGGTTCGCATCTAAAAAGATCCTCCCGCAAATTCTTTCTCGGCGCTTTATAAGCAGCCTGGACCGGCAGCACTACTAGAACCGAATTCGGCACCGCAATCAAGACCGGAAAGGCGATCGGAACGAGATCTATTACCGAAACCTAGCTGCTATGTGATTCCCTGTGGTCGTAACGAGGGCGACTATCCTAGTGCACCTCGAAGCTTTGTGGTCGCCGCGCGATACGAAATCCGAGTTATCCTTTTGATGGAGTATGCTCGAGAATAAGCTCTGTGTTTAGAGTGATGCCGCCTTGCAAGAATCTGGGAAAAGTCAGGTGGAAGGGATTCCGGAAGACCTCCGATCTAAGATCTCCAAGTACCTGGGAAAAACTACTCGGAGAAGTACGGCGGGGCCGGTCAAGAGCGAAACGCAGACCCGCTTCGAACTCGGCAATGCTTTGAACAACTAGAGAGTTGCTTTCAGAACAACCCTTCATCTTACCTGCGTTGCAAAAGCGAGCTCCAGAGGTTGGTAATGCCGAAGAGCCGCCCCTCGCAACCAACTGGCAGCCACATTCACGTCGTGGACGCCCAATCGAAAGGTGCCACGTGTCTTGCAAGGAGCAGATAAATGCGGTCGGCAAGATTTTTTCTTACAGGCTTGAAAAGTGTAGTGGGATGAGGGAAGGCCGTTTCGAGACTAAACGGAAGATAACGCCTCACCAGGGGGCGTCGGACCAAAGAAAACCTGCGCGGCTTCGTGGCGATTCCGAGGCGGACATAGTGGCTTTTATCGGGTTTCGCTAACGTTCGTCAAATTTCTTCAAAGAAGCGTCCAGGACTACCCGTAACCCGAAAAGCGCCTCACCACTATGCCTTGGCCAAGGTGCTGCTTAACCTCAGTCGCCCCAATTGATTGAACCAAGTCAGTCGCCTAAACCGACTAGTTTTCGTTGCAGGCGAAAGTCAGTCACATCTCATGGTCTGTATGTTGCTGGAGAATCACTTGGGGGACACCCTCTTTTGAAAGAACTCTCTAGAAGGCCATACGAGGGTAAGCGCCTTACCACCAGTCCTTGGCCGCACGACTGCATAACCTCAGACGACTAGTTTTTGTTGCAGGCGACCGTCAGTCACATCTTATGGTCTGTATGTCGCCGCTCATGGGCGACGTAGGCGGACGTCCTTTTCAAAGAAAACTCTCCGGAAAAGCCATAAAAGGAAAGCGCCTTACCGCCATTCCTTGGCCGCACGACTGCCCTCAGACGACTAGTTTTCGTTGCAGGCGACAGTCAGTCACATCTCACGGTCTGTATGTCGCCGCTCATGAGCAACGTAGGCGGACGTCCTTTTCAAAGAAAACTTCCTGAAAGGCCATAAAAGGAAAGCGCCTTACCACCATCCCTTGGCCGAACTGCTGTTCGTTGAGCGCCTCGTCAACTCCGCGTCCGTCGTCGACGACCAAGCGCCTGGGCAAAACAAACCACAATTATAACCCGGGGTTAGTGACTAACCTAATATACTCACAAAAGAGCGTCTGTTTAAGCCGTAACCCGAGCTTTATGACACGAACAATCTTAACCAGGGGTTAGTGACAGACCAAACATATTCACAGAAGAGCGTCTGGTTAAGCCGTAACCGGGGGTTATGACACGATGCACAATCATAATCCGGGATTGTGACAAACCAAACATACTTACAGAAGAGCGTCTAGTTTCACGTAACCCGAGGTTGTAATACGATCCACAATCATGACCGGAAATGTGACAAACCAAATGAACTTCCCGAAGAGCGTCTGATCATCCGTAACCCGGTGTTATTACAATACTGAAGATACTAACCAAAGAGCGTCTGTCTTGACGGTACGGTTGCCAAAACCGTTTGTTAAAGCAAGAGAGGTTATAAAAGCGAACCCGTTCCGGGTAAGCAACACTGGTTATAGCGCATACGCCTGCATTTCTTGCAAGTCCACTTTGGAACGAATTTGTCCTTGTCGATAGAAACACAAAGCAGTGACTCTTACACCTTGCTTCCTCGCCGCTCGGAAACGAAAGTGAATGTCAAAGCGCCACGAAATGGAACGACCACTGTCAGAAGGATAGTCGGTGCGAGTTGGACGTTCCGCCTTCTCAAACCGTGTCTTTGGGCTACCCGACAACGCACCGAATCTTAATTCATCAGCCAAGTCAGCCGTAGATTACAGCAGAAGCACGAAAAGGGAGAACGAAAGACCCTGAGCTACTTTCTGCTCTTCGAAGAGCAGATATTACTGTAATAAGCGCTCCGGAGGCAAGCTAGATCTAAAATGGGATCTGGGCTGGGCTGGCGTGTTTATCCCATGATCTCGTGCCTCAAGGTCTGCAATCGAACAATGTACAATGATCGGAATCATCGGGATAACAATACACAAATGACACGTGGCACGCACCTGTGCAACATCAGATCAATATGCCCCTCCCGGAGGCTGGTACCGCCCAAGGACCGGTCCGTAAGGACCGTGAGTTGTTTCTCAGAGTCGCGGATCAAAATTGCGGCGTTTACCTGCAAAATTCACCGGGGGCGGAGACAAAAACAATCATTTTATGAAGAGGATAACAGAGGTTTGTAAGCAGGACTAGCGGAAACGGAGAGCAGATTGGATGAACGTGCCAAAACCGTATTGTTTCGAAGGTAGGAACTACGGGGGCGGATCCAGAATAAGCAAGAGGGCCCAAGATGGAAGGCAAGTTGAACACCGAGTGTCACCGAGCGTTCAATGATCCAAATTCGCACTCACAAGGCAGACATGCACCTAGTCTGGTTTTGCGTAGACTCTCTGAAGCACTTATACACAATTCGTGCATGGGTTATGATTACTCGGAGCTAACACAAAAAAGTTGACCGGATCGATAACCTGCTTCGCCCCCGTGCCCGCCCCACACCCCTTGGCAACTAACCTAACCCGTCCAGTCAAAGGTAGGTTGGCTGCTAACCAGGTTCATTACCAGATTAAAGTCTCAGGTTCTGGACAATATCCGTGGGTTCTCCAGGGCCGGTCAACGCCCACGTCTGGTTATCAAAGTTATGACCACTTTCTAACCAGCCTATACTCAGCCCATAACCATCCGGGGTTAAGTGCCAGAACAAATCCATGCGGGTTAAGCAGGTCGTCTTATTCTACCTTGGAACTTTTCATCAAACTCGGGTGAAGATGAATCGAGTCAGGAAAACGACTTACCGGGTAGTAGTTTCCTGCGACCGGATCTGTGACTATGAGGTCCCAAGACGGCCGATAATTGACCACCTGCAATCGGGAAACGGAGGCCAGGGTTTGGATAAGATATCCAACAATGCGCGGTATTTGTAGCGGCATAGTATACATCACGGCAATTGAGCAATCGGTTCGAGCTTATCTGAAAACGATACGTACTGGTAAGGATTATACACAGGAGATTGTACTTAGATTACATAAGCCCCAGGCGCTTCAACTAAAGACCGTAACCTAAGATATTGCGCGCTCGGCACCCGCACCCACCCTAACCGCCCCACTAACTGCACCCGTTTCCCAGAGGCCTGTTTTGAAACAGTCGGCCCATTCAAAAACAGTCGGAGTTTGGCTACTCAGGCAATTGAGCAATAGCTTCGAGCTAATCTGTTACGTTGCCTGGTACTAGGAGTAGAATTGACGGATGCTGGGCGCCTTTGAAAGAGACGCAACGCGAGAGTCCGCAATTTCTGAAAGCGTACAGACTGCACTCGTTTTGAACGGAGATGACCAGAATGTAAGTCCTCGACTCAAGCAAGGAATAAATGCAGGAAACACTGCTCTATCAACGAATGCTATCAAAAGCTTCAAGATGCAAAGACATGGGAAGTTCACTTTCAGGTGCAACGGGATCATCCCTCATCTTTTAAGGTAGCTTCCTTAAAGTGGACGCGAGCTTGGGAAAGATCTTACCCGCTTGATGAGATCCCTTCCGTTGCTGTCCGTGTAGAACGTTCCGCCGTTCCGGACGTCCGCCTCCAGTCGGAGCACCACCTCTTGCCCGCCGGAAATGTCCGACGGAATGGGGCCCACCTAAACGCCAATGCACATGTGTTCATCGATTTTGTTTGTAATTTGCGCAAAAGGTCTGACGGAACAGGGACGATCCAAACGGAACGCAACGCGCTTACTGAGTCCCTTTCCGCAGTTCCGTGCAAAAGGCCTGCGGGAACTGGGCTGGCCGGAACGGAGGTATGTACACGCGTTCACCGAGTCCCGCATGAAGTTCCGCGCACGCAAAAAGTTTTACGGAAAGAGGCCGACTTGAACGATACGCATCCGCGTCGCACAGAGCGATATCCGCGTGTCATTTCGCGCTCAACAGAACGGCCGTTGAGTTCGAAACGAAGTTTTAACCTCGACCCGACCGCTGATTGAAACTGATAAGATTGGAGTTTTAGGCATGAAACGTGCGGGTATTACATACGGCACCATACGGGCTGTGGCTCTCGACAAACTCGCCTTTAATCATCGTAAGTTTGCCTATGCAGACTCATCGGTTGATTTACGTCTTTGATTGCACCGGTCAGAGTAGCCTTTCTATATCGTCACTAAAAATCTCCTGCAAACACGTGCACCGGATTAACAGTGAAGCCAGCTTACCGTGTACCGCAGCTGCGCATCCTGGCCGTCCGATGGGACTCGGATCACGATCGACGCCCACGATGAGAGCTCCTGGCGTACCTCCTCGAACAGGGGGCCGCGAACCACCGAGATGCGCGGCTGCATCTATTTTGAAATGGTCGTTAATTGGAGGGATTTTTCTCCGGTATAACTGGAATCAAGACAATTGATGAGGCTAGCACGCTAACAACCTTATACTGCTTAGCTTGCTTTGCATTAGCCGGATGGACTTTCCTTGGGTTGTACATGCCAAGGAGATTGCTGTGGCTAAGACGCTCACAAACCAGATCCGCTTATTTTGCGCTCCATTAGTTGCAGATCTGTTTTGGGATGTAATGCGAAGCAGATTGCTGAGGCTAAGACGCTCACAGAACTATTCCGCTCACATTGCGATCCATAAAGAAGTCGAGAAAGCACTTTCTCCCCACTTTCTCAACAGCGAACATCTTTGAAGAGCTACAGGTTCGAGAGCTTGAGGCTTACAACTGTGTCAGGGGATCTTATCGGAAGCGAGAAGTTGAGAGAGTTATCTTACAGCAATTGGTTATGCAAACCAATGTCTCTTGTGCTACAGCTTCTTCCGAGCAACCCGATCGTTTCGATGAAAACCTTGGTGTAATTTGGTCAGTCTGTTGCTATGCAAAATCAGTGTAGATTAATTGACTAAAAGTGGCAACTTCATAAGCAGGAGCTGTATGAGGAGCGATTTTTGCCCCACGACTCACATAGCCGTTTGAGGAATTCATATCGACCGGGATCTCTATTGGAGATGCAGGTCGGAAAATATATGCACCGGAGGCCTGTAAAATGGACATAAAAGTAGAGTCAACAAGCTGGTTTGAAAAAAAGATGCATTACGCTGTTCATCCCTTGTTCTAGTAAGTATTCTACACAGCTTCTGTTATAGAAATTGGTCGTTCTCGCACGTTCTACTTGTTAGAAGTTGAACTCTATGATGGCTAGATTGCACTCAGCTCGGTTATTCAGAGGTCAGATATAACCAGAAGTATAACCTCGATAACTGAGTGATA